TAATTTATTCGTAGTAGTCAGTCAGTTATGTGCCATACGTGTTACCATCTTTCGATACATGACCGACGAGGCAGATTTTTTTCCCGCAGTAGGTTGTCATTTCTTTCTGCGGTAGACCAGTTGCCATCCAAGGCTATAGAACACGGTCTGTCCTGCTATTAACCCATTGCTGGTAGGGGAGAAGAGGATTCATACCTTTCCCAAGGGTCAGTCAGTCAGTTATGTGCCATGCGTGATACATGCTTAAGCGATCATGTATCTTTCGATACATGACTGACCAGGCAGATTTTTCCCGCAGTATTTCTTTCTCCGTTAAGTCTATAGAACACGGTCTATCCTAATATTAATCTATAGCTTAGGAGAAGAAGAGGATTCATACTTTCCCAAGGGTATTAATATGTAAGTGAATATAATGGATTCGACTGGAATTCGAACTCGGCACTCCGATTCCTCAATCCGAGCCGCTATCCATTATTCCACCCAGCCTTTGCAAAACAAGTGTTTTAATATAAGCGATCCCTCCGGAAATTGGTTGATATGTAAAATGGCATTTAACGTTTGTTATATGCAATTTAATATGTTGTTGCTATATTCGTAATAAAATTTTGTTGAGTGTTGGTTGCTTGATTTTCATAACTTCGAGATTTTGATGGTGTTGTTTATTATTTTCGTGATGAAGTAGATTGGGGTTGTCCGTAAGTATTTTCCGGTATTGTGAAGGCGGACAGGAATGTGTTATTAGATGTTATGCGATAGAACTTGTATCCGATAAATGAAGTGTAAGATGTCTTGATAATACATATAAATATATATAAATATTTAAAATCAATATAAAAATAAGTAGACACAGTATATCAATATTATTCAATGAAACACACACACACGTGTGTGTGTGTGAGAGAAAGAGAGAGAGAGAAAGAGGAGGCACGCTGGAGTAGTGGATAGCGGCCAAATTGAGGAATCGGAGAGCTGAGTTCGAATTCCAGTCGAATTCATGCTAATACACTTGGGATGGGTATTAATCCTCTTCTTCTCCCTCCAGCTATGGGTAAAATAGAAGGACAGACTGGGTTCTATAGCCTTGGATAGAAACTGGTCTAGGAGAAGGGCAACTTTGAATTCAAAACCTGCGGAGGGTCATTTGGGGACCTTGTGGCCCGGAGTGCACCAGGTCTCTGTATTCGGCTCTTCTAAAAGTGTGGTTGGTTCTGCACAAAGCCTTCACCACTATAATCAAATCTCATGTGCTGGTGTCTGGCTGTCGGTTCCTAGGAACTGAGTTGCTTGACCCTCATACGTCGAATACAACAGGAGAGTCCACCATATATATATATATATATATATATATATATATATATATATAATACCATTAAATTATATTAAATATAACTCTGTTGTATCAAAAATACTTCCACCAATTCCTGACCACTGACAATCTGTTTCTACTTCATTTGCAACGCATTTCTGTCGAATATAGCTGCCCTGTTTTGTCAGAAATACTTGCATTCATTCCCGACTAGTGACACTCTCTTTCTTCCCCATCTACAGTGCATTTCTAGAATGAATGAAAAATCGGTAGAGCCGAGTTCGAATTCCAATTAAGTTCGTTACTTACACGCTAAATCCCTTGGGAAAGGTATTAATCCATCTCTTTTCTCCCCAGCTATTGGTTAAATAGTAGAACTTGTATCAAGAAAAAGACATTGCTATCTCCTAAGAAACTATAATGTAGTATTCACTCATAAAAGAAAAAGAATTAGATTTGTCATCCAAAACACATGTTTCGGATGTTAGTAACACAAAGTGATATGTCCCGAAAAGGGAAATATTTGTTCGAAGTAGCAAAGTGGTTTTGGACTACTGTAACCAAGTAGGACAATCTAGCAGGTAACCGTAATGGACTGGTTCTCGTCGTAGTGGTAGGCAATAGGCGTAAGCAATAGGCGTCGTCCCTGTACCTCCACATCGGTCTGTATTTATGGCTGACACCAGCCAATCATATTACAAAGGATTGATAAATCATAAAAAACAAATCAATCCCTGCATGAGTGCAACTGCTACTATGTTACCTGGTACCACCTGCGGCATGGTCGGGTAATTGGCGACTTTAAACCGTTTAGTCACAAGCGTTTGAGAAACTGCACCCTGAGAACGAAACTCGTGTCTGGTCTTTCTATACTTTAAAAATGAAATGGTATGGCTTCATATCATAAGCTGACATCTTGCTATAGTTACACTCGACGACAAAATGGCAGCCATCATCATGTATGTATATAAACGAGGATAATAGCTTCAAGTAAGGGACTGCCAGTAGATAATGACATTACGCTTCGTGTGTGATATTTGTAGGCGAGTGTGCCTCTAGGGAACTGACGCGACCAGCCATGTGTTGTTGTCCCCTAAAATCTCAGACTGATAAAACATAATTAATTTCTCTAAAGTTATTCTGCTGAATTTATAATGAAATACATCAAACCTAGCTACACATGTGAAATCTCTAACAATCAGGGCTAGTGCAGGAGCCACGGGCCCCTCGAAACTATGATACCCTTCCCCGAATCTATGATACAGTACTTCACTCTACTATATCTCAATTTTCATAAGCTAGAATTCATATAAAATGCAAATTTTATTCTAACCTAATTATGTACAATAATGGATCATATGCAATATAGGTGACCAATTCAAAGAGAAAAATTGAAAATAAATTCAATGTTTCTAAATACAAATAATGTCATAAACAGGTCATTCCATTTTAAATAAATCAACAATGCATCAGTTTTTAACATCAACTTTTCTAATAGGCTAGAGAAGATACTACAAGTTATCATAGTGTTCTTATCCCATACCTGGATATATATATATATATATATATATATCAAGTCATCCCATAAGTTCTGTCCGAATTTTAACTTTTTCTTAAAATGAACGAAATTTAAAGAGTATTTTATAATGTCTAATGGAGCTGAACATTATTTTTATGTTTAGATGCATTTAAACTGATCAAATTTTATTTCAGAGAACAATAAAATTAAATTTTGTTTGATTAAAACCCTGCTAACATGGAAGTACCCAAGAATCATTTGAGGCACATAATGATTTATGAGTTCAAGAAAGGAAACTCAGCAGCCGAAGCGGCTAGAAACATTCACTCAGTTTATGGAGAGGAATGTGTGAATGAAATAACTTGCAGAAGATGGTTTGCAAAATTCAGAGGTGGAGATTTCACCCTTGAAGATGAAGATCGAACCGGACGTCCAGTTGAGTTTGATGAAAAGCTTCTTAAAGCAGCCCTTGAAGAAAATCCTGCTTTATCAATTGAGGAATTGGCAGTGGTTCTCAGTTCAAACCATACAACTGTTCATCGTCATCTTCAACAACTTGAAAAAGTTTCTAAACTTGGAAAATGGGTGCTTCATGAATTGTTTGAAAACAACCTCAAATCCCGAGTTGACATCTGCTCTTCTCTTCATTTTCGCCAACTTGTTTCACCTTTTTGGGATAGACTTGTGACTGGCGACGAAAAATGGATCTTTTATTGAAATGCTAAGCGTCGTAGACAGTGGCTTGGTAAAGGGGAAGGACCCCAGCCACAGCCAAGAAGTGAACTTCATGGGCAAAAGGTTCTTCTTTCAATCTGGTGTGATCGCCTAGGAATAATCCACTTTGAATTCTTACCACCTAATGCAACAATTAATGCTCAAATATACTGTCAGCAATTAGAGCGTTTGATCCAAGCTTTGAGGAAAAAAAGACCTGCTCTAGTGAATCGAAAAGAGGTGATATTTCATCAGGACAATGCGTGACCCCACACAGCAAGAATCACCTTCACTAAAGATCGAAGAACTTGGTTGGGAGAAAATTCCTCATCCACCTTATTCTCCCGATCTTGCTCCTTCAGACTACCATTTGTTTCGTAGCTTACAGAATCATTTGGAAGAAACAGCTTTTGTAACACAGGAAGAGGTTAAAACTGACATTCGTGAGTTCTTCGAATCAAAGCCAAAAGAAGTTTACAATAATGGAATTAGTAAGCTTGTTAATAGATGGAAGGAAGTCATAGATAATCAGGGAAAATACATTGTTGATTGAATCTGTAATTAAATGAAACATTTGGTCACTTGTTTTCTTTATTCAAAATTCGGACAGAATTTATGGGATGACCTGATATATATATATATATATATATATATATATATATATATATATATATATATATATACTAAATATGGCCCGGCATTGCCCGTGCTTGATTAAAAAATCGTACGACTCATACAACAATTGCTATCACTTGACTTAAAAATATTTTTGCCCTTCCTTGCCTTTAAAGGAGTGCCCTTTGCCGTGCTGATGTTGCTACTCGCCTTACTTCTTGCCTATCTCACACTGCGAATTTTTTCTAAGCTCTATACTAAACATTAAATCTGTTACGAAAAAAGAACTAAACAAAATGAACACAAAACGATCAGCTTTTAAAAAGGACTCGTAACTGGAAAAAACCGAATGAAAAAGAATGTTAACAACAAATACTTTTTTCACCCAACCCAGTTCTGCGGAATCAGAATTAACGTTGGGTTTAAGCAAGCGAATGAGCCAATTGGAGTAAAAGTGCTATGCAGATTCAAATTTTTCCCACTTTGACGAATGCAGCTATCGATTTTTTTTAGCATGCTAGTTAACATTCATGTCAGTCAGCTGTTGGCTCTCACGCTGGCCAATAGAATCTTCCATGCCTATTCGTGGCAGCCAGCTATAGGCTCTCACTCTGGCCAGTAGAAAATGTCCGCAAATTACATGAAAACTGCTGTAGAAGCATGAAAAATCGATTATTTCCACTATCGATGGAAGTTGGGAAATGCAACGTCGGTCTTGGCCTTCCCGATAACTTGGAGCACGTGCTTGTAAATTTTGGTGCAAATCCGTCGAAAATTGCGGCCGTGCATTCGGTACACACACACACACACACACACACACACACACACACACACACACACCTAGATTTATAGATAGATAGATAGATAGATAGATAGATAGGATAATAGCCTGTTATTAATTACTGACCAGAGTCAGTACAAGGGATTTTTTGTCTCCCACTGAATCTATGATACGGCCCCCCCACTCTACTACATCTCAATTTTCATAAGGGAGCATCCACATAAAATACAAATTTTATTGTAACTTAATTATATACAATAATTGATCATATGCAAAATAGGTGAACAATTCAACGAGAAAAATTGAAAATAAATCCAATGTATCTAAATACAAATTAGAGTCATGTCATCATAGATCATTCCATCTGAAATAAATCAAAAATATTTTGTAGCAATTTTTAACATCAACTTGGTATTTTTCTTGTTAAAAATTTGGCTAATTTTAACATATTCAACATTATGGATAAAAAGACATGAAGACATAAAATTTGATTTAGTGTCTCTTTTTTTTCGAGACTTAACATGAGCAAAAGCAAATTCACGAAATTAGACGAAAACAAAAAGACCCCATAATGACATTAGAATCTGCGAAAATCTTTCATCCTTTAATAGTCAGTTGTGCTTAGTTTAACTTTGTAACGTATATAAATGTAGATAAAAAAAAGCAAATGTTGATAAGATAGCGAGGGTCACAAAGCATTGTACGGGGACCCCAATGAGACTTGCAACCCCTGGTCGAGAATTCAGAAGTAGTACGTACCAGCCTTGTCACCAAACAAATATTTCACAAATTGCACTGTGATACCTTTAGTGTGAAAACAATGTTAAAAATTCAGTTGATCAACTCAAAATATTTTATTACCTAATTTGGTTATCATAAAATTGGCATCTGAAGTCAGATTTCATAATTGACTTCAGTCAACGTGTTATGAGAATGATTGGTTTTCTCTTTATATACCTTACAACATCTGCAAGGTATGCTATAAATGCAGTTCTTAGTTACGCACTTCATGTAAACGATTATGTTGGTTACAAGCTAATGAGAATAACTGTTAGAAGCCCCCCCCCTTGTCCAAACACTGCAGTGAGAGAAAGAACCAAGTAGAGAGAGAAAGAGCCAAGAAGAGGGAGAAAAAGGGAAACAGAGAGAGAAAATGAAAGCAGAGAGAGAATGAGAAGTAGAAAGAAGTAGACGGAGAGAGAAGATTGGAAGATAGAGTGAGAAAGAAATTAATATATAGAAAGATAGAAAGACAGAGAGAGAGAGAGAGAGAGAGAGAAAGAACTCTTTCTCTCTCTATCTCTCTTTTAAGAAGTAGAGAGGGTAAAAGAATTAATGTTTCAAAATCCGCGAGAATTTTTTATGCTTTAATAGTCAGTTGTGTTTAGTTTAATTTGTAACTTATAAAAATGGACATAGAAAAAAAGAAAATGTTGATATGACAGCGAGGGTCACATTGCACTACGTGGGGTTCCCAATGATGTTTGCCACCCGCCCAGTCGGGGGGTTTCGGAGGTAATACGCGCCGACCCTATATATATCCGCACATCCTGAGATGAGAAAAGAGAAAAAGGAAAAGAAAGAGAGGGAAAAAGAGAGGGTGAAATGAATCAGAAGGGAGGATAAAAGGGAAAAGAGAAAGGTTGAGATATATGTAAGAGAGAAAGGAGGTAGAAATAGAGAGAGAAAGAGAAAAGTAAGCTGAGAGATAAACATGGGTGGGGGGAGATAGAACTAGGGAGAACAATAGGAAGAGGAGAAAGCAGAGAGAGAGAGGGAAGGACAGGGTGATAAAAAGGAGAGAGAAAAAGAGTGAAAGACGAAAAGAATTAAAAGAGAAAGAACTAGAGAGAAGTGTGAGAGATAAAGAGAGAGAAAAGAGATAAAAAGGTAAAGAAGTAAAGAGAGAGAAAAACAGAGAAGTAACGAGAGAAGTAGAACTAGAAAGAGAGAGAACTTTGGAAAGAAGTATAGAGGGAGAGATTGAGAAAAGTGCGAGAGATAGAAAAGGGCAAGGAGGAGGAGAAATGAAATGAAAATAGAAAGGGTGGGAGAAAAGTAGAGAGAGGAAGACGAGAGAGGAAAAAAAGAAGAGAGATAAATAGAAAGAGAAAAAAGAAGTGGATTGACAAAGAAACAGAGAATGAGAGGGAGATAAAATTTGAGAGGGAAAGTCAGAGAAGGAAAAAGAAAAGAGAAAAATAGAAGGGAAGAGAGAAAGAGAGAAAAATTAAAGAAACTGAGAGAAGGAATCAAGAAGAGAATGAGAAAGAGATAAGAAGGAGAAAAGAGAAGCAGAGAGAGAGAGAGGGGTGATAGAGAAGCAGAGAAAGAAACAAAAGTAGAAAGAGGTAGATAGGGAGAAAGAAGACTGAAGGAGATAAGGATAGAATGAGAAAGAGAAATAAATATAGAGAAAGATAGAAAGACAGAGAACAAGAGAGAGAGAGAGAGAGTCAAAAGTAGAGAGAGTAAAAGAATTGATATCTCAAAATCCGTAGAATCTTTCATTCTTTAATAGTCAGTTGTTCTTAGTTTAACTTGTAACGTATATAAATGGAGGTAGAAAAAAGCAAATGTTGATAAGACAGCGAGGGTCACAAAAAACTGCACGGGTTCCCCAAAGAGACTTGCAGCCCCGGTCGTGAATTCGGGGGTTTCACATACCGGCCCTGTCACCAAGCAAACATTTCACAAATTGCACATTGATACCTTTAGTGTGAAAACAATGTTAAGACTTCATTTGATCAACTCATAAAAATATTTTATTACCTAAATGTTACAGGGAGTTCAATGGTAGCACTCACTGGCCCTGTTTACAATCCAATAAGCAATCGAAAGAAGATTTTGATTATTTTTTTACGGTTTATCAACCCTTTGCAGGTTATTTAAAGTCAGAAAATATTTTATGATTCTAAGAATTTTTTTGTGATAATAAAAATTTAGCAATATACGTCTTACTAATTAATCCATAGCTGGGGGAAAACGGCAAGATTCATGCAGTATCAGTACTTGCGAGTAAGGGAATGTAACGAACCCAACTGAAATTAAAGCACCGCTCTCCGATTCACAAAATCGAACCGTTACCCATTTAGCCACCTGGACATACAAGCTTACAGCACCTGATATTCCCAATCGGTCAGTCATCTAGATATTGACCGGGCTCAGTGTTGCTTAACTTTGGTGATCATACGGGAACCAGTGCTTCAATGTAATGTGGCTGTAAGCCTATAACGTTTGAAATAATCAAATACTGCTGACTAAAAAAATAAAAACGTGAGCAAATTATTTTTTAAGCAATTAATGTTATTAATTTAATTATTGACCTTATTAACAACACGGGTGAGGGTGTGAAAAGGGAAGACGTCAAGGGCCGTCCTCATGATTGAAATAATGATGCATTTTCCAAAGATGTCAGCATGATAAAAACTGTCTTAATGTTACAAATGTGACGCAGCAGATTACCAGGGAGCTGGAATGAGAAGTTCTTCCACAGGTTCCATGTTCTCTACAATTGTCACTATCCACTTTTACGCTCCATACAACAGTTTTCTAAAAAATGGATGATGCCATTCATTAATAGTAGAAGAAACAATTTAACTGAAAGATGAAATGTCATAGAAAGCCTAGGAAAATACATTGAATGACTGAATAATGATGCTATGAATTTATATGAATAAAAGATTTCGTCAAATAAATGCTATTATCTTTTGCATCAATTTAATATAATGGAAGACACGATTTAGCGGAAAGATGACGAAATGTCATAGAAAACCTGGAAAAATTCTTTGATGACTGAATAATGATGCTATGAATTTATATGAATAAAAGATTTCGTCAAATAAATGCTAGTATCTTTTGCATCAGCTTAATATGATGGACTACGCAATTTCGTTGAAAAGTGACGAAAGGTTATAGAAAGCCCGGGAAAATATTGTGTTGACTGAATAATGACGCTATGAATTTATATGACTCTACCAAACAATGTGTGACAAAAATGCTGGAAACTTTTGCATCGAACTCATAAATATTTACAGATATGCCGATAAGAACACCTACGAATATCCACCTACGTAAAGTTTCACTTGTAAATGTGGATCAACGTTAATTTAACTTGGAACTTTTCTTTTTTCTTACTTCAGCGCCTTCACAGATGCAGAAGGAAAGACTTTCTTTTTTGTTTTCAGAAAAAATCTCTTGTAATGTTCATAGATGTCGTTTAAAGATATAGTCGGACTTTTTTTTTATATGTTTTTCTAGTTTTTTTAGTTGGGTGGGTTGGGGAGTGCGCGTATGTTTTTTGAATTTCTACTATGAAATATTTATTTTTTATTTCCACAATCTTTGCAACAAATCTAGACATGTTCAAATATTTTGATATTTAGTTAAGACCAAATGAACGGAAAATAAGTGAATTGGATTTGTTTTTCTTTTCTTTTGTCAGCATTGGACACAAAAAATTATAAGGACCAATATATAAATATATATATATATATATATATATATATATATATATATATATATATATATACACACACACACACACACACACACACACATATATATATATATATATATACATATATATATATATATATGAATGTAAGTAATCGCACATTGAGTAAAAGGGAATAATATGTATATTTTGTAATATATATATATTTATATATATATACATATATATGTATATTATATTACTAAATATACATATTATCCCCATTATATGTATATTTAGTGAAATATATATATATATATATATTACTAAATATACATATTATCCCCACCTTACTCAATGTGCAATCACTTTATATATATATATATATATATTGCTCATATAAATTTTGTGCCCAATGCTGACAAAAGAAAAGAAAAACAATCCAAATTCACATATTTTTTTCTGTTCATTTAACTAAATATCAGAATTTTGAACATGTTTAGATTTGTTGCATATATATATATATATATATATATATATATATATATATATATATATATATATATATATATATGGAGGGGAGTAAGAACCAATACTGAATTAATCTATCGTCTTTCCATTATATATATATATATATATATATATATATATATATATATATATATATATATATATATATATTATTAATTAACTGATTTAAATATTGTTTCTTCGCTACAGAGTAATAACCATGTTTCAAAAACCGAAACTAAAAACTTCAAATTTAATTATATAATTAAATTAAAAGCTTTAGTTCTGTTTCATCTTCAAGCGAATTTTGGTATGTTATATAATTATATTTGAAGTTTTTAGCTTCGGTTTTTGAAGCATGGTTATTACTGTGTATCGAAGAAACCATATTTTTAATCAGTTAATTTATAATATTTATGCTCTGCAAATTTACATTGAGCACAGTTTTGTATAAAAATAAAAAATACGAAAAAGAACACCGGATTATATATCATACTATTCTTTTTATTTTTATTTTATTATATATATATATATATATATATATATATATATATATATATATATATATATATATATATATATATATATATAAATTATGTTGTATTACATCGAGAATTATATTATTAACACCAATACTCTATGTAGAATATGAGAAAAACTACTATAAAGGAGAAAGGATAATAAAAGGAGAAGAATTAAGAAGACAGAAGATAACGACTGACATTGCATTCAAATTTTTGAAGATCAAAGGCAATAAAGCCACTAAGACGCAAGAGGTTATTGAGTGTTAGAGAATATGAGAAAAACTACTATTAAGGTGAGAGGACAATAAAAGGACAAGAATTAAGAAGACAGAATATAACGATTGATACTGCAATTAAATTTTTGAACGTCCAAGTTGACCAAGAAGCAAGAAGCCTGAAGTGATTTCCACAAGCGATAAGTGCGATAGAAGACACTATTAGCCTAGAACTTACGGTTACACCTATCTAGTTCAGCTGTAGAATGATGAGACCTTGCCGCCAATCTAGTACTTAGTTTAAATTTATGCATTCTGTGTACCAAAGAGGAAATCTCATCAGAATACTTACCATGAAAATATTTATAGAAAAAGAACAGGGAAGCTACATTACGATGGTTGGAAAGTGACTGATGCCGAGATGCCAGGTCAGATCCAATAACATTGCAGATTCTTCTTTGGATTTTATCAAGAATCTCTAAATATATAGCAGACGCACCAGATCATATGTGGCAGTAAAATTATAAACATGGATGAATGGTGGACTTGTAAATACGTAAGAGATTCTGGAGAGGAAAAAACTGTCTAGTACCCAAATAGTGAACCAACTTTCAGAGCAGCAGACCTAGAAATTGATGTCAGCAGAAAATGTTAGCCTGAGTATGCGCAAGGAGTTCGACGATCCTCAAAACCTGGTGGAAAACGGAAAGGTGTTTCTCAGATGACTGATAGAGAGCAGTTTCGTTTTTGAGGCGTTAAAATTAACAAGCCATTCCTTGCCCCTGTTAACAACAGATTGTAGGTCATTTTTTTAGATCAGCTGCCAATTTGACCTCGACGAACTGATCAGACTTGCAATTAAGACAAAAGTAAATATTCATAGACACCGAAATATAGCAATTTTGAAAAGAGTTTTAAAATATGTATGGATGTGCAGCAAAGGTATTCCGCGTGGTCCTTGAAAAAGATCGGTCATACTAGCAAATTGCATAGTATTTGTATGTTTTATGTTTGTTTAACGGCATATCAACTCCTTATGGATGATTTCATCTTTGAGGAAATCATCCAACATTCGCTGCCGTAAAGAAAGACCTATGTCACGTAACAGTTCAGAATATGAAGAAGAGCTACAAGGGATAGAGCGAAGTGGAGAACCATGATCGCCTACGTCCTGAAAGGACATGGCGCATGGCACATAAAAAGAAAGAAAGAAACATTAGTACTAGTAATATTATCGTGAATGTTATTATTAGATAAAGCATTCTCGAGGTGACAGAGATGTGGTTCTACAGAAGGATGCTAAGGATATCATGGACCGTGCGTGTGAGCAACGATGAGATTTTAGAGAGTTTGCAAACAAGGAGAAGGCTTATACTTAATATTAGGAAGAGGCAGATGAAGTTTCTGGGACACATAATGAGGAAAGAGGGCCTGGAGAATCTGATACTCACGGATCGAATAGAAGGAAAGAGAGACAAGGGAAAACAATGCGTGACATACCTGGCGGACTTAAGCAAGTGGATGACAGAACGTGGTCTAGGGGAGGAAGCTGAAGGAAGGAACTTGAGAGCTGCAAGGGATAGAGGGTGGTGGAGAGCCATGATCGCCTACGTCCTTAAAGGACATGGCACATAAAAAGAAAGAAAGAAACATTAGTACTAGTAATATTATCGTGAATGTTATTATTAGATAAAGCATTCTCGAGGTGACAGAGACGTGGTTCTACAGAAGGATGCTGAGGATATTATGGCCCAAGTGTGTGAGCAACGATGAGATCTAAAAGAAGTTGCAAACAAGCTTATACTTAATAGGCAGGAAGAGGCAGCTGAAGTACCTAGAACACATAATGAGGAAGATGGGCCTGGAGAATCTGATACTCGCGGGTCGAATAGAGAAAAAGAGAGACAAGGGAAACTATGCATGACATACCTGGCTGACTTAAGCAAGTGGATGACAGAACGTGGTCTGGGGGAGGAAGCAGAGGGAAGGAACTTGTGGAGAGCTGCAAGGGATAGAGGAAAAGGTGGAGAGCTATCAAAGGATATGGCGCATAAAAAGAAAGGAGAATAGGTTATTTAATGCCGAAATGCCATTTTTGAATCATTTCACTCCAAGCAAGGCGTAAGTGCCACGAACACGCAAGAGAGTGAGAGCAAGAGTAAAGAGTAAAGAAGACGCGAAAAGAGAATAGAAGATAAAGAGGTAAAGGTTGTAAGAAAAAAAATGAAGGGAGGAGGTGTCGTCTGGAAATGAGTAAAGAGGGGTGAAAAAATGGAAAGAAAACGGGGAAGAGATCAAAGTGAGGAAAAGTAGGAGTAGAAAGAGTGAGAGAGAGGGAAAGAGTGAGAGAGAGTGAGAGATAGAAGGATAGACAGAGAAGGAACGCACAATGAAAAGAAACGACTGAAAAAATACGAGTCAAAAAAGAAAAGAAAAGGAAAAGAAAAAGGATTTAGTGAAAGAGAAGAAAGGAAATTTTTGAGAGAAAAAGAGAAGATAATTTTCTTAAGCAATTCACCCCAAGCAAGGCGGGAGTGCCACTAGCACGCAATGGATCGTGGGAGCAAGAGTAAAGAGGAGTGTTTGAGGAAAGGATATTTTGTAGATAATGTTACAGGGTAAGATTATGGAGTTCTGTGCTGTTGATATTAGAATTACTATCGGCAGTGTCTATTTTTTTCTATGCCCGATTCAGATGATAATGTATATTCATGAATGTGTATGTCAAGTAGACATTATACTTTTTAGTTGTCCGCATGGTGATTTGGGAACCTTTTTTTTCTGTAAACACCGTTTATTTCAGATAAACCTACATTAGATTCTTTAAAAATGGATTCGACCATGTGTGATGCGTGATATACGCATAAGCGATCATGCATCTTTAGATACATGACTGAAGAGGCAGATTTTTTCCCGCAATAGGTTGCCAGTTGCAATCCAAGGCTATAGAACCTGGTCTACCCATCTGGTAGAAGAGGAGGATTCATACCTTTTCCAAGGGTATTAGTACGTAAGTGAATGTAATGGATTCGACTCAATCCGAGCCGCTATCCATTACTCCACCGTGCCTCCTAGATTCGACGACACAGAATTTGAAAAAGGTTTCATGTAAGTTATCGTAGCATTTACTCTTACAATACTGATAAAACGACGCTACCCCTAAGGTATCTACTGTCATAAAATAAACTTATCCGCGAATAAATAAACATAATTATAATGGCATCCGGTAAAGGAAGTTGGATAGTCATAGATGTCTACCTCTAAATTGAAAACGAGGCCAATACTTTTTTAAAGCATTTCACCCCAAGCAAGGTGAGAGTGCCACTAGCATTCAAGGGGTTACAGAGAGTGAGAGCAAGGTTAAAGAGTGCTGTTTGAGGAAAGGATATAGAGAAAGACAGGGATCAGGATCAAGGCATCAGATGATGTCGATTGACATTACATTTGGATATTTGAAGATTATAGCTATCAGGGAAGCAAGTAAGTGGAAAATTCCACTGTCGGGAAATACGAGAGAAGCTGATGGAGAAGAAGAGGTGGGTACATTTAACTGTTTCGACAGTGAAAGGGTGGGACCGCGATGCCAACTTAGTAGCACGCTTAAATTCATTCAGTTGGGGCACCAATGAAAGTAGCTTGTCAGAGCAAATACCATGAAAATATTTGTAGAAAAGACAGCGTAAAATCACAGCACGTATGTGAGAAAGTGACTGGAATTGAGATGTCCGGTCAGGACCTATCATATTGCATATCTTTCTGTATTGTAATATTAATTTTAGTAATAAAAATATGTTATTCTGCTTTCACAATTGAATACATGGTAGATGATACTCAGATTTTGTGCATATACATGTTTGTGTGGACATAATTACTTGAGGCAATGATATGTGTGTTTTATATTGTAGTTTTGTTGAAGTTATATTTTGGAATACAGTTTGATTTCTTTAAGAAATTGTTGGATATTATATGGATTAATATCATGAAAGAGTTCTTTCATGTTGGTTGGCTCATTTTGTTTAGTGGTAAATTAACCTCTAGGGGTTATTTAATGTTGAAATCTAAATATTTTGAACACATTTTTATGGCTTCAACTAAATATATTTTAAACGTAATTGCCTTTCACTACAGGTAAAATATATTGTTGCCATTCTATAAAACTGTATATTTATGCTTTTATAGTGTTTTGTTTTTGTTTTCTCAAATGAAAAGACAGTGTTTAACAATGTTTGATAATATTTCGACAGTATATATGTCTTCTTCATGTTATGTTTATATTTTGCATATAAGTATAAAAATTTTAAAAAAATATATAATTTCTTTTAATATTTGTTATATTTTTATGTATGCGTGCAATTTTGAAACGTAACCTGAAGAAGACAGGCGTACTGTCGAAATATTGTTAAATTTTGGGTTTTTTCTTTCCTAACTTAAAATCGCGCTCTTAAGCATTAAAAAATATTGAAAGTCTTATGTCAACCATTGTTGCACGATATTGGCACCCACTGAATATAAAACCCGGCATGACAGAGTGGGCCAATATCTGCACTGGAAATTCTGCAACTTCTACGGGAAGGAAACTGAAAGAAACTGGTATGAACACCAACCAAACCCGGTTACGGAGATAGGACCTGTTACAATTCTATGAGACTACACAATACACACAGACAGAACAATCAAAGTCAACCGCCCAGATATTGTTATTAAAGACCACAAACAAAAACGGTGCCTCCTTATTGATATGGCAGTCCCTGCTGACTGCAATGTATCTTTGAAGATATTCAAAAAGCTGTCAAAATACAAGGACCTTGAAATAGAAATCTCGAAAATGTGGCATATGGGAACATCAACAATCCCTGTTGTAGTTGGAGCCCTAGGACTGGTTGGAAAAGATTCAGTAGACTAATTGAAGGGATTCCTGGAAGTCCATGCCTCAAGGAGATACAAAAAAATTGTTCTGACAAGTACAGCCCACACTTTACGAAGGGCTTTATCTATGTAATTTTTTTTTTTTTTAGTCAGTGGAAAGTGTCATGATGCCATTTCTAACCTTAGGTCCCTGGGCGGGACCCGGAAAGAAATGTGTAAACGCCAGAAATCAAAGAAAATAAAAATAAAAATAATAGCAATAATCACTATTTCCTTGGCAAAAGACCAAATGAGCTTCATTTTTTAGTTCCAACAGTTCAGACCTTTACATCTAGGCTTTTATTTTTATTTTTAAACTTAAAACGACGATTATCTCTGTTGTGATAGAGGCATTGGCTATGATATGGTACCGAAAATCATGTGAGCAAAATGCATATACAAATCAGCATCTCAGAGCTACAAAAGATTACTTTGTGCAGAACTGCATATATCATTAGCAAAACCGTGTCCATCGAAACGAAACGTCCCAAATGTGCATCGATAACTCTCCTACAGTCACCCTTTTCACTCATAGACCCAGAAGGGGACTTGGCAATTAGACACTTAAAATTACTCTCGGGCAATATGGTAACAAATATTAAAAATAATTTAATATTATTTTATAATATTGTCTGTTCCTGCGTTCCTGTGTTAGCGCGTAGGTTACGTCCTGTCTGTCAATAGCTCATAAATAAAGGACAATAAATAATATACAGTGTAACCCGGATATAAGACTGTTGTCGGGACCGGAGAAGTCTCTTATATTCGGGTTTCTCTTATATCCGGGTTTGGTTTATTTTATATACATTAACACAGGCTCGAATTTGGGACCAGAGAAAATCTCTCTTATATCCGGGTTTCTCTTATATCCGGGTCTCTTATATCCGGGTTACACTGTATATTATTTTTTGATCGCGTGGAATGGTGGGAAAAGATGAAAGAAAGAGAGAAAGAAACGAAATAAATAAATAAAGATACGAAGGAAAGAAACGAAACGAAACGAATAAATAAAGAAAGGAAGAAAGGAAGAAAGATACGAAAGAAAGAAACGAAACGGAACGAAACGAATAAATAAAGAAAGGAAGAAAGAAAGAAAGATACGAAAGAAAGAAACGAAACGAAACGAATAAATAAAGAAAGGAAGAAAGAAAGAAAGATACGAAAGAAAGAAACGAAACGAAACGAATAAATAAAGAAAGGAAGAAAGAAAGAAAGATATGAAAGAAAGAAACGAAACGAAACGAATAAAGAAAGGAAGAAAGATACGAAAGAAACGAAACGAAACGAATAAATAAAGAAAGGAAGAAAGAAAGAAAGAAAGAAAGAAACGAAACGAATAAATAAAGAAAGGAAGAAAAAAAGAAACGAAAGAAAGACAAAAGAAAGAAAGAAAGAAAAGGCAGATAGAGAAAACGATAACGCCTGCTTCAGTGAAATCTTGAAACTTGTCAATTTAAAATCCTTTCATTTGTACCCTCTTACTTCTTTAAATAATAACCTGCATTCATTCTTATTCTTCTTATTCTTTATGATTGTTTTTGCATTATTCTCTTAAATTTGTTAAGCTCAGATATTTAACGATGCAATCGGAAAATTTCCACCGGTATCTTATAGTCATAGAACTTACAAGGAACCGACATATTGAATCGTTACCTGATTTATTTAGAATTATGATTCATCAGAAAATTCATATAGGAAAACCGTGAAATTTTCACGGCTACTACTAATACAATTATATATATATATATATATATATATATATATATATATATATATATGCGTTGGTCTCACACACACACACATATATATATATATATATATATATATATATATATATATATATATATATATATGATACAATTATAGTCTGTAACGTAGCTATCTTTATAAAGGATAGAGCGTATGTAAATATAAACGTGAACACTAAGGTCAACACCAAGCGGCGACAGCCATGGCCTACACCTTGCGTTCAATGA